TACTACCAGTAGGAAGAATGAACAATCTATGGGTTTATGCTCCTGGTATAGGCGATTTATAAATAATTTTCCAATTTCGATAGAACCTATTATAATTAACTATTGAAAAGTTAGAGTGTAAAATGCGCTATCGAATGGACTCCTGAAGCGAAAGCTTTCTTTATCACCATCAAAAATAGAATAGAATAGGAAGTGTATTGATACAAGAAGTTCAAGGTGTCGAGGAAGTGAAAGCATAATATGCGTCAAGATCCTTGTCCAGAACAAATAAGAATAATTTTAGTGTATATAACAGTATAAAAACTACTCAGTTAGATTTTTCTTATTGATAATTTTCGACTTTCTATCGATTATACCATCTTTGACATAACAACACCATCAGATCTTCTCTGGTTACACATTCTCTGAGATCCTTCAGGTCGTCTGGCCAAATGGGCTGTCAAGTTGAGACAGTACTCTCTCAATATTTCTCATAAACCTTGTGCTCAGAACAAAGTTCCGCATTTAACGTCACGGAAACCTAGCAGCCCTGAAGTCATACCTGAAGTATTTTTGATGGATGTACAGCCTGTGGAAACTGAAAAACGGTATGCCTTGTTACACAGTGAAGTTTGTCAAAACTCTGATGAAATAATTCAATTCATAAGTATATTCTTTCTAGAGTACCAATGAAGTCGAATTTGGTTGAATGGAAGGTATTTGATCCAAAATGCGTTCAATGCAAAATAATGCCCCCAAATATGTTTCAAGTATGGTTAATGCACAAATATCTCGCTTAGTCAGATGATATCGATGATTATTCCGCTGGAAATTGGCATTTCAAAGATTTGAAACAATACTTTGGATCCAATTCAGATTTTTCGGTTGGAGTGTTATATCATAGACCTTGGATAAGGGTGATTGAACCAGTATTGAGAACCCTCAAATAGACTGGAAATTTTCAAGCCATAATTCTTTTTGCCTAATCTGAATTCGATATTTCACCTCTAATATACAATTTTTCTGAAAGACACATTACAATTTCCAAATTATCATCATAACCATATAGAGAATATGAAGAATATAAATGTGAAGCTCTTCCATGGTACCATGCGACAGCGGTTTCATGGATTCACAAGTTGCTGTCCTGTCAATATTTGAATATATATAGGTACATCCCGTTAGATAGTTGGCACATGATGATGCTATTCGCGATAGACAAGGTCAACATTTTACGTTGCGATAACATGAAAACTACCGAATAACATTCCTAACTTTCAATCTTAGCCAGGAGTTAGAAATGTTTTCCGTAGTTTTCAGGTCATCGCAACGTCAGATGATGGACTTGGCTACCGCGATCACCCAAAAGTGATCATATCAGTATAGGTGGTAGTTATCATGGTATTAATTGATGTCGATACTCTAGACATTGATTTTAACACCTTTGAATTTATTCATGATTATGATATCTCTCTTATTCAGCTATTTCGAATTCAATCAGAATATTTTTCATAGCTTATTTCACATTTCCGGAAGACAGTACAGTAGATCGTTGTCACCAGCATTGAGAATCAGGAATATACAATTCCAGTAAGTAATATTTCAATTCGCCATTATTTTCACCAGGTCGCTGGCACCTATGATCGGGTAGAATATCGCTGACTTACTGAGGAATATAGAGTTTGATTACAAAGCCGGAATTACGATCATAGATCGCGAGTAACATTTTGAATAAGATGAGTTTTCGATCATACGCTTTCCTTGAAGCATGCTCTTCGGAGAGTACATGATTTTTATTTTGATTCGTGTTCCATTTATAACCCTTGAACGTGAGAAATTCAGAAATTTCTGGTTACACTGTGCGAACGGTCAGCTCATATTATAGTCGGGGCAAATGGATCGTGGTTCATTTACCTACCATATCATGTACTTTTCTCAAAAATATAACAATTGGCATAAAAAAGATAGTTCCACCAGATGAGATTTTATTTGGACGCCACCTACAGAAAATGAAGTTCAACAAACCTCTTTCTTGAGCCAATCCCTGTAGAAAGAAATTGTCTGTGCTGAAGGATAGGAAAACCGATCAAACAAATAAAATTCAGGTTCATTTACTGACTAGAAAGGGTATTCGAAGGAATATCAAATCTGTATCACGAATATTTATAATATGTACTAATAATAATAATAAACGTCTTTATTACTTCTGAATAGAAAATTATATATTATAAAGTATGGGTGGATAATAATTTTCAGAAGCAAAGGGCGAAGTTCAACTCAGTTCCTAGATGACTCCGTCCACTGAATTGCTCTACCACTTAACCCTCAAATACCTCTACAATTCAACATAAATAGGAACAACAAAGGAAGAAATTAGAAAAAGTAAAAAAATAGTACATAAGGATGATAACATATAATAGGAAGTCTGAATGTTGTTATTGATTTGAATTAAACAGATGTGAAAATATATTCGTTTTGAATTTATGAAACACTATGCTGATTTCAATTGATGTGGAATATTATTGTAAATATGGCATATTTGATAACTGAAGCATCTTCGGAAAAGTTCTGTTTTGAAAGGGGGAGGAGACAATACTCCTCTAAACCTAATATTCACATTGTGAACGTCCGTACATAAATAGATATTTACGTAATCAGTTAGGAAACGCGTTGTTTTGTGTAACGATGAGTTTCACACATAATAACTTTCAATTTAAAAGGAAGAACATGCCTAACACCATAAATAGTTTATAGCGAAGAATATGCACGTCGCAAAAGATTATCAACATTCTTTTCAAATCTAAGAGTATGATCAAGGATGACCCCAAGATTTTTAGCTTCCTCTACCAGCTGAATTGGTTCACCATTAATTTATTGATATTTTTACGGATTCAAGTACTGCAGATCGTTTGGTTTTGGGTTCAAACAGTAACACATTAGACTTACGAGAGTTTAACAGTAGACAAGGGTCTGTGGCAGTTTTAACAAACTCATTCAGATTTTTATTGATCATTTCACAGGAAACTTCTACACTTTGAGGAGGAAAGCTGTAATAAACTTGGGTATCATCTGCGTAAAAGTGCACTTTACATTCATCCAGATTATTGATGAGATTTGAAGTGTAGATTGCAAATGGAATTGGTCCCAAAATTGACCCTTGTGGTACTCCCTGCTGAAGAGGAAGTAGAGATGAGAGCACCTCACCAATTGCAACTCTTTGAGTTCTATTATTGAGGTAATTTCTAACCAATGTTATAGCTGCAGCTGACAGGCCAATGTAATGTAATATGGATATCAACAACTCATGATTTATAGTTTCAAAGGCTCTGCTGAAGTCGAGTAGTACCAGAGCGGTACAATTCCCGTCATCTGTTGCTCTGACAATATCATCTACAACATGATTGTCACAAATGAATTTGACTGCACCTGAAATGCAACTAGGTGTGAATATTCATTATACAGGGTGTTGAATGAACGATCTCCTATCCTATATTCTCCGGATATAATGCATTTCACCTTAACAGATATAGTAATATTGAATACTGACTTTTCAATTGTACTAGATTCCAAATTGTACTTGACTTTAGATTATAAAAAATTTGATAATGAATGATTCAAACGATCAGTGCAAACTTTATAATATGCAGAGGTTGCCTCATGTCAGCAAGACTGTGAATAAGCCAGATAATGTACGTTGTTCGACCAGAGCTTGTTGATATTTCCAACATCCAAATTACATCATCAGGTTCCAGATTTCATGGTTTTATTCATACTTGTACTAACACTGCCATCTAAGAAGATAATTTTGTAGTAATATTTCAGGATTTTCTTTTGAGAAATTCCATGTACGTTTCCGAATCATGGTTTTCTCAACTATCCAAGTACCTATGATGATTTTGTAAATTGAGTGGCACCCTCTAGAGTTTTCTTGTTCAGTTTCAATTGACATTATTCCAAATCGAAAAAGTAGCCAGTTGAGGAAAGAGAATGCACGGGTTAAAACACGCTCACTCAGCACTTATCATATCTTTCCAAAACTGTTGTTTCCATCAGAGTTCCAATATTCGAAACATTCAATATATAATCATTTGAATCAGAACTGTTTCAGTTGCTCTCCAGTTTGAGTGAATCTGTAGCCATTCGAGGAAAGAGGGAATTCTGATGGAGAAACAACCAAACAACACATGCTATCATCTGATTGAAATTGTTGTCCTCATCAGAATTTCAAAACTCGAAACAAAGAATGATCATTTTATTCTAAACTATTTGTGGTGCCTTCAAGTCTGAGTGAACAACACATTCTCACTGTCAGAAACTATTGTCTTCATCGAAATTCCAAATTTAACAACATAGAATGATCATAAGATCTGGTGAAAACACTTTCGAACAGCACATTCTACCTATTCAGAACTCTCGTCTTGATCAGGATTCCAAATCAGAAACACTGAATGATTATTTCATTCAATATTGTTAATGGTAGAAACACATATCCTACCTGTTTGAAATTGTCGTCTCCATCAGAATATCGAAATTCCAAACATAGAATGATTATTTCATTCAAAACTGTTGATGGTGCCATCAAGTCTAGGTGGATCTATAGTCAGTTGGAGTGAGAGAAACCATTGGTGAAAACACACTGAAACAACACGTCCTACCTCTTCAGAACTTTTGTGTTCATCAAAATTCCGAAATAAGGAACAGCTTATGATCATTTTATTCAAAGCTGTTTATGGTGCCGTCCAGTCTGAGTGGATCTGTATCTAGTTGGGAAAGGAGGTAACTCTGGTGAAGAGTTAAAAAAAACACTCAAACAACACATTCTACATGTTCAAGACTGATGTTTTGATTAGAATCCCAAAGTGCAGAACAATGAATGATCATTTTATTCAAAACGATTTATGATGCCATTTATGATGCCTTCCAGTCTGAGTGGCTCTGTAGCCAGTCGAGGTAAGAGGTAACTCTGGTATATACACTTGGATTGTTAGCCGAGCAATATATTCCTCCGTAGGACACAATACCATGTTGAACATTATCGATGACCAGTGGACCACCAGAGTCACCATTACAAGCAGAGCGACCACCAGCGCTCGAGAGACAAACTTCAGTATCTTTCAGTATAACGAACGACTTCTCGCATACGCTGTTAGAGATGATGGTGTTATTCACTTGGCGAAGAACATTGGTAGTGCTGCCAGCTGCTCCGTCGGTCAGACCCCAACCACTCACTCTTGCATTGCGCCCTGTGAATAGATAAATCAGGATATCAGAATAATTTCCCCTGGTCAACTAATAAGGATTATTCAATGCATAATTGGTGTGTGTCATGGCTCAGTTACTTATCGAAATAAAAACATCCGATTTGAATCCGGAAATTGTGATCAGCAAAAGCAATTTGCTCATGGAACATATAAAGTGAGTATAACTTCAGAGAATGGAGTGACGTTGCAATAGTTCATAATAGCCAATGAAGTCTGATAGTGACTAGATAGTATAATCTTCTCTCTCCAATGACGAATCACGATGGATGAGATTTGTTCTTTGAATCATATCATTCATATTCAGGAGAGAATATTCCAAGAGAACTCAAAATAAATAGAAATTATATAAAAAGGTCATTATTGAGCATGGCAATAAGCACGGTAGGATTGAGTACGTTGAGAATGATCAAAACTATTCGAAATAAGTGATATGCATAGCGAAATCACTACCAACTCTCAATAAATGCTTGAGTCCACCACAATAATCTGAAGAGAACCTTTGTAACCGACATTGAAATATATAATACAAGAACCAGTTTGATACTCAATTGCTGTCACATTTGGCGGGAATTTCCATCACCAAAATAACCTGTCTCTCAGAATCGAAGTATAGCTGCATCTTTCTCTAGCCGTTTGTGTTTTCATCCACATTTTCATTCAACTTATTCGATGAGATATAAAATTTAATTTCAAACGGAAAAGGTTGTCAGATTGCCATAACAGCTTTACCGTCATTAAACTCTGAATAATCTATGGGCAAACACGGCGCGATACTATTTGTCGTTACCTTATTCTTGAGCTATCATTAAGTTAAAGTTTGTGATTTGCCTCCATCTCACCTTCGAGATTGATTCCAACGTCGCTTAGAGAAGGAAGACGAACCAATTGGATGCTTTCTGTCAAGGTTACAGCCCTATCCAATTGAATGACACCAATGTCGTTGTCTATTTGTCTATCGTCGAATTTCTCATGAAAGACCCATGTCTTGCCACGTATAGTCAAAGAACCTTCAGCAGGTTTGACGAGATTGTGAGCCCCGAGAGTGACAAGAATAGATGAAGCCCTGTGAAATGTCATTATGTGCATTATTTTGTTTGATATGGAATGAACAGAATGCGTTCATGAAAACTGCAACCAAGTTTCATTGTCAGTAATGTAGTCATTACTTCAAAATCAATAAATTAACTGAAATTTGTTATTCAGTGTTACTAACCCCTGAAGGCAATGAGCAGCAGTGAGGACGTATCTTTCGGTGATGAGAGATCCACCGCAAGACCAACTAGATCCTCCTCCTTTTCCGACTAAGTAGACTTGGTAAGGAATAGAGTGAGGAACAGCTTCTTGGCCGTTGATGATTTGTAGCGAAGGAGTATCATCTTCTTCTGGTTGGTTGATCGGTTCCACATGGATGTTCTTGAATTCTGGGATTTCACTTATGTCCTGCAGATTATCGTAAGGTGGTTTAGATTTTACGTATCGTCACTGACTGAAAAATGGCTTCACAGGGTTGGGCAATGATGTTTCGGAGCTTGTTTGCTCGAGTTCTATGATAGCTAGAAAATTGATTCAGAAACGAATGTGAATGGGACATCAAGGTCCATAACTAGAAGTTATCGTCGAATATGGAGGAGGCACCTGAAAAAATCTAGAAGGTCAGGAACACTTTTTTCAAAGAGAATGCCCTGTATATGAGCACATTTTTAATATCTTCAATATCTTTCACTATAATTATCTCGATCATCTTGAAGTCTCTGATTTTTTGTCGGTAAATGTCATCTTCACATGCAAACCGGCAAAGTAATCATCTGAAGAATTGAAGAATTCCCATGCCCTCAACAAGTCATAAAGGGAGTTCCAATTCGCAACTTTTCGAAGACACTTTTCTCGAGTTTCTCAAGTGGAACAGCACATATGATTTTGGAACATCTAATGTAAAAGCGAAACATTAACAACTTTTTTGTCAACATCCATATTGATATTCGTACCCATTTTTGGCAATACACAATACACATTCTTATCTGCTATTAAAACATCGAAAGTCCAATCAATGATTCAATAATTTTTTTAATGGAAGAATTGGAACCAGAGGGCAAACATGAGAGATAGTTAATATGTGAAACTATCGAAAGCTGCTCAATCCTCTGATGATGCCAGGATTGGACCCTCGAATTCAGAAGGCAGAAAGTACATAGTGGATACTTACAATGGATGCTGCTAGAGCTACTCCGAAGAGTGCAAGAACCACTAATGCGACTTTCATGATTAACAATACCTATGACGAAGTATTGATGAATATATATATATTCGTATATATAGATGACATTGGAGTACACAAAACAAGGCTTGGATTAGATAACATCCTTCGAGATCTAGATTAGGATCTTTGGGATAATCTGCTCTTGAATAGTTGACAATTTAAATCAGCAACTGACTAAATTCCAAATTAATCATCAAAAAATCTTTATTCTTAAGGTTATCATCTCAAGGTACAATCCAGTGTTTTTCATCTGTAAAATTCTCACTTAGGACTTCATGGTATAAGATTTGAGTACAGATCGTCATTTCACTGCCAGAAGAGGCAAGGAAAAAGTATACACCTCAACAAAGAAATACAAGAGACCATATAAGTTAATCATTTTTGTCACTCATTGATTGTAGAAGTCCAATGGGAGTTTATTCAAGCATGGAAGAACAATATTTATTTACTTGTATCTATTATTCTTTGATTCCTGAGAGATGATCAAACTGTTGATAACTGTTGGATCAATGGGTTAGATATTTTTGCAAGAAGAAGTGTACACAGGCATTCCTCAGTTGCGACCTTTCAGTTGTTCTCTATTTGGCTTATGATTAGAGATTTGAGTTCACCATACGTCCACTTTCAACCCAAAGTTCAAGGTTCACATTTTCATGGAATGAGGTAACTGCTCAAGATTCGTGAAATGCTGATCCCTTTAAGAGGGGGTGAGAAAGGTTTCGACCTGATAAAAAAAGCAGATTCGGTTCCAATCCTGACAAGATGGTATTTTTTCATCCTAGTGGCCGTTCTCCTCGCAGTATCAACTCAACTCTCTCGCACACATTTCAATAACGAAAACTCCTCCACGATAAAAAATTACAGCAATACCGAGATTGTACAGCATTTCAATTATCGGCTCCTTGCTGAACACATTAGGACCAACTGCATTCGAAATTTGTCAACAATACGTCTGCTATCCAAGCCTTTCCTTCTCAGGATGCAGCCCTACTTAAGGAATGGGTGCATCATATACGTATTAATAAACAATACGTATCATAACGGGTGCCAGGATGAAGCCAAAAATATGAAACAAATGAATATCCATAAGGATTTGGTGGCATGATACGCATGCGCCATGCGCTATTATAGTAGTAGTCATCAAAGACATGCGTTTCGGTGGACAATGACGTTTACTAGCCTTTCAATCAAAGCAGTATGTGTCTGATCGTTTCAAAACTTTTCCTAATGGATAGTCATTTGTCTTCAAAAATCGGCTTCATGTTTCGCTATGGAAACAGATAGAGATTATCCGTATTGATTATTAATACGTATATGGGGTGCATTTGCGAACGGCAGCTTTTAGTCAGTAGGAACTATGAGTTCGAGTTATCAAAATGAGTTGAGAAAGCAATGATGAAGAAAATATTAGGTGACTAGTGCACCAATATTCAAAAATCGAAAAATCTACCTACATATTATGTGTACCCTATCTATTTATACCTTCTGCGACAGTGACTCAATACATTATGTATATTTTTCAACTACTATGAATTTGATTTCGATTGATTCGTTCGAATAATGATTTGAAGAGTTCTGGTCGTTAATTGATGCTGAATCAGCTTCCAAATAGAAGAAAGGATTATAGTTCAGTCAAGTTACTGATGGAAATTTCTGAACTTCGATGTGGTAGGTATACTTATGTCTATTCCAAAGCGCTCTACGGCCAAGTCATTATATTCGCATAAAAGTTGCTCATTGATGCCTATGTAACTACATACACAATATACGGACGGCTCCAAAACTGAGTTTGGATCAGGAGCCGGTATTTATGGGGCCAAGCCAAAGACAAGAATCTCACTGAGCTTAGGTAAATACGCGACGGTGTTTCAGGCAGAAATTATTGCAATACATCATTGCGTGAAAGAATTGATAAGGCAAGAGTTTAAAGGCAAAACCATTGCAATCTATTCAGATAGCCAGGCGGCAATCAAAGCAGTCAACTCTATGCAAGTTAACTCAAAACTAGTATGGGACTGCTTAGAAACCCTAAATGCACTGGGCAGTCAGAACAGACTGACTCTAGCATGGGTACCAGCACATACAGGGTACGAGGGCAATGAAGAGGCAGACTCACTTGCCCGAGCAGGAGCAAACAAAGCTCTGAATGGCCCAGAACCCTTCTGTGGTATTGCGAAAGCTATACAAAAGACTAGTATCAAATCATGGATGCAAACCAAATCTCAAGAATGGTGGAACAAATCGCCAGGAATGAGACAGGCAAAAGAGTTTATTAAAAAACCATCGCCAACATTCACAGAATATCTACTAAGCCAGAAACGAAGTTCAACTAGAATACTAGTGGGACTTCTCACAGGGCATTGTAGGCTCAACAAACACATGAGTACGATAGGTCTGACTGAAGAACTGCTGTGCAGGTTCTGTCAGGAAGAGGAGGAAACAGCAGTACACATACTTTGCCACTGTGAGGGCTTGTCAAGACTAAGGTTCCTTACGCTGGGTGAGGAAAAACCAGAAGCCCAGAGATACACAGGGGATCTGAAAGCTAGCCTATGGAGTCTCATAGAGAAGACGGGGCTAGCCGAAGAACTCTAATCGATTTTGAGGGCAGACACAATAGATCTGAAAAGGTCGCGGTGTGGAGGCAGATAGCCCGAAGGCCCCATTCTAAATCTAATCTAATCTACATACACAATAATCACAATATTCTGATGTGCAGTTTATCGAACCGAAGTCTTTCGGAAGAGCGCAAATGTTGAATGATTCAGATCCGTTGTCGTGAAATATCAGTTGGTTCAGATCGAAAGAATATCATTGATAGTGACAACATTTTTTGTAACACAATTGGTTTAACTGGTTGTGCTTATACAATCTAAATGATCTTCAAATATGTAATGAGCAATGAATTCCATTAAGATCTGTATATCGTGTATTCATACCATATTTGAAGTGCAGCACTCAAACATACCCTGAAACTGATGGATTCTGTTCAAAAAACAGCAATTCGTTTTCGTTTTTCGTTTATTTCATAGATATTCTCATGGACGATGCTCTTCTGAAATATCAACAGTTTTTCCATCCTTGGCAGTCCTCGCGAGATTAACCCGTCTAGTTGAGGCTTCGCACCATTTCGTAGTCAGTTCGGAGACCTATAAAACATCTCTTTCCAAATACTCGTTTATCCAACGAAAAGCGAGGCTCTGGAACACATTGCCAAGAAAAGTGTCCCCCGAGGCATATAACCTCCAGAAATTCAAGAAGAACACCAATTCCCACCTTATTTCCCTTGGTTCTCACGATGATCTCTGAACAATACAGGATATCTGTTCTCGTGGAAACCAGAACATAAAAAAAATTACATTCCAGGCAATTTCAATGCTGACGTCATTCATCGATCAATCACGCCATGTTGAAAGTATGATATCTGGCTGTGATAGTACGGAGCCATCAAGATTCCATCAGATATTATCAAAATTTCTTCCATAAATCATTTCTGAAGTCAATTCGTCACTTTTGTGACCAAATTCGGACGATATGGCGATATCATTTCACTAACTTGGAATTATAGAAATAATAAAAAACTTGCTTCCTGATTTTCCCCACTTCTCACCTACTGAATGAAAACCTTATCGAGTCTTTCATTTCCACTCTCGAGTAGTACACTTACCTAAATCACTTGGCAGCGTCAAAATGAATTACTCAATTACGAAGGTAATCAAGCTTCTTGTCCCTAAACAAAGAGGTGTCCCTTGATGCAACTATCTTGATGTGGGTTACATTATCCTTTGTATATCCACAGACAGGAAAATATAGAGCTCGCACCGAATACATATAGTCCTAGCTGTTTAGACTGAATTGTTTGAAATACGATTCAGGTAGTTTAAGTTCGGTGATTTTTTTAATGGTTTTCTCAAAATGACTACCTAGTTTCTGATCAAGTTCAGACGTTATCTCAAAATCTTCAATCAGCTGATGTACTGCTTCAATTTCCTATATATAGCATTATTGCTGTGCAGAGTAGGTTTGTTCGACAACAGTGATGAAAACCACAATTCAGTGAAGGAAATGGGGTGATTTTGAGAATTTTCTTGATGGCTTTGACTACATACTAGGAAGGCTTCGTGCTGGGACAGTTAAGAGGAGAGATTCAACCAAATCGACATGCAGGCCTGCACTAGTTGTTGCTATTTGGGCTTATGAATGATTCAATTGAAAAACTGATTAAATCATCGTAAAGAAGAAGGTTGGGACTAGGGCCTGGTTATCATACGGAGTCGAAACTCATTTATTTATAGAAGATACAGATTTTTGAAAAACGTAAACATTGAAATTTTTTTGTCTCAAATTGAAATATTTTCGATCTCAGTACAATTGTTGGAAATTCGGCGAGGTGTCACTGAAATATCAGCTCTGGAAATGGTTCCATTCGAACAGGAAGCAACAAAAACGATTATTCTGTCAACAAAATATCCATTCATCCCAGCTGATCTCGGTAAACTCCATTTCTTGAAAGAATATAATGCAGGAAACTAGGATGTGGTAGTTCAGGCACTACCTGATAGATGGCAGTGTTCGGAATGACAGACTGCGGCAGAGAGGAATGGTGCATTGTATTGCAAGCAGATGGCGCTTAGGAGAGATGATGAATTCAAACCCGTTTACACCGTTGCCAATGTTATACATATTACTCGGACATATTATGAAATCTAGGCGACGTGATAATACAGAGGGTATTATTCAATTATCTGGGCATATTTCAAGGGGAGGTTCTCCTAGTGTTTGTAAGACGAACAAATCTAATATATAAAACTCTCCTGTCACGGTCACGGTCATAGTGGTCGAACTCCTCCGAAACGGCTCGACCGATTCGTATGAAATTTTTTGTGCGTATTCGGTAGGCATGAGAATCGGTCGTTATCTATTTTTTAAATAGAAAATACAAAATGGCGGATCCAATATGGCGACCGAGTATAGTTATCCGATTTCATTCAAAATTGGTACTCAGGGGTTTTCGGATTCGGAGATTATGAATATTTAGTCAAATTTTGGAAATTCAAGATGGCGGATCCAATATGGCGGACGAGCTTTGTAATTATCGTCAGATTCCATCCAAAA